AAAAAAAAAAAAAAAAAAAAAGACTAAACCTTAATTTTCTTGCCGAAGTTCCTCTGGTTTCTCTTGCTTCTATATCTTTCAATCCTCACCTTCTTCTCCTCTGGGCTATAAGGACTGGTTCTACTCATTTCTTCTATGATCAAACTACTTTCACTTGACAATGGGCTATCAGAATGAGAATGAAGATAATGTTGCATTCCATTGAATCTCTGACCGAATAACATGTCCCCCCCAAAAAAAAAAAAATCAACATCAATTTACACGAACTTGCACGAGGTATATATATAACAATATCATGTTACACGTCATTTCTTTTCACGCGTCCATATAGCTTCACCTTTTCCCTCATCTCCATCAAAAACAGTTTTTTTTCTTTCTTTTCTTTCTTTTTCTGTCCAGTATAATAATTATAACTCTAATACATTAAAAAAAATGATGAAGGAAACATATTTGCAACAGTGCATGCAGAACACCATGGAGTGCCCAGCAGGTGATCATAGTAGTTTAGTTTTTTTTTTTTTTTTTTTTTTTTTTTTTTTTTTTTTTTTTTAATTAGATTAAAAGTTTTATGATAGGAAGAACCTGAAGATCACCGGTACTGCAAGCTCTTCTAACGGGAGCGTTATCAGAGTGAAGCAACTGAGCGAAGAGAGGAGAAGAAAAGAGTGTGTTTGAATTCTTCTGCAGCGAGTGGCTGCTAACGCTTCTCTGCATCAAACACGCTCGTTGACTCTCGTAACTCGCCAGCGAACTCGGCGATCCCATGTAACTCGTGCACCCGCTGCCGCTGCTGCAACTGTTGCACGTGTTACAATTCCAGCTCGCCTCCGAGTTCACCTGCCACGTCCACTCCGCCGCCGGGGTATGAGCGCCGCCGTACTGCATTGGCGGCGACAGGAGGGGGTCGGCGGCGCGTGGGGGGGCGGTGGGGTTGTGTGTGTACATGGCGCGTGGGATTGGAGGGAGGGAGCGAGGGAGGAAGGGGTTCGTTCTACTATGGTTTGTACTTAGTAGAAGTAGAAGAAGGAATTAATGAATGCATGTGAAGGGTGGTGTGGTAAGTATTTAATATTTTTCAAGATGCACAAAAAGACAACACATTTTTAAATGGAAACTCTTTTTTCTTCTTCTTTTGAATATTAAATTAGAGAGTCTAATAAGTAAGGGGAAGAGGGATTAGACACCAGACGTGGAGGTGATGTTACTATTTCAGCCAAGAGTTGACTTCAACTCATGCAAATGTAAATCAATTTATTACACACCACCTCTATTTTTCTTTTTAATTTTATATAATTCTTTTTAAACAAAAAAAAACAAAATTTATATTTATATGATATATATATATATATATATTTGCATAATATTTATTAATTTTGTCAATAATTAATTTTAGTCAATAAAATTAACCCATTACTTTTATTGAAATATTTTTTAAATCAAATTGTTTTTTCATCCATAAAACTTAAATCTCGTTAGTTTAAAAAAATCTAACCTCAAATTCAAAAATAAAAAATAAAAAAATAAAAAAACATTTTACGAAATTATTGAACAACATTTTACTTGCCAAAAACAAATTAAAGAGTTTAATTGAATTAATATTTTTTTTTAATATATGAGTGAATCAAACTAAAGAAGCTTATAGTTGAGATGCTTCAATAACTTTAGGTCTCAACACTTTTAAGATTTGGGTATTTTATCTTATAAATCACAACTTTAATTCGAATCAAGAGTGTGAATGTTTTTCCCCCCCCTTATAATCCGTCATTATAAGAGCCTGTCGTGCTTAAAATCCTTTGAAATTTAAAAGATAAGACAACTATGTGTGCAAGTTAGGTCTCAACCCTTTACTCCCTAGATGATCTTTCGCAACACTTGTGATATATATCTTCATCATCCACTACCTTTTTCATAAAAAGGACATGGTAGATATGCATAGGGGTCAGGTTTCCTGATCCAAAACTAACCTAGCTAGCTTCCTCCTACATCTTAAGACTTAAGCTATACAACCTTTTTAGTATAGGGACAATTGAAACTTTTTCAGCATTGATCAAAATGAAAATTATTTCCATGCATGCATGTATATAACAAGCAAGTTGAAGATGAACATTATGTTGATAAAAACGTAATTTAACCATGCATATAGGTTATTATTAATTATCTATTTTTTATTATTATTAAGACGAGTACATCATTCCATTACCATATCTAAAAAAAACTCAACTTGAAATGATTATATATATATATATATATATATATATATATTTTTTTTATCAATAAGATTACAATATGCATTGAATTTAAATTTTCATGTATAAATTCCTACATTTCACTACTAGGTAAATTCTAATAGTTTAGAATGGTTTTATATGTAAAAATAAGTTTAAAATAATTTTTAGACCAAGACAACAAAATAAAATATTTTATCCATATTAATTAAAGAATTTACAATATAACTCACGACCTTGCCCAACATCAAACCAATTAAACTAGAACTATTGCTCACAACGAAATATAACGAGTTTAGTGTTTTGGATTTGTTGCATTTGAAAATGAAACTGAACAAAATACGAAATTAAGAAAATGATACACGGTGATGTCATTAAAAAAGGTGGAGCAATGGCAATGGGATGTGGCCATGTGGGATTCATCTCTTTTGGTGTATATTATAATATCTTGAACAATGATCTAGCATTTTCTGTCATTAATAAAAATGATTAATAGATAAATATAAAGAACGATGTTATACAAATTGAATAATTAAATTTGTTGTACAAATATTATTTTCCTAAATTTTTGAAGAGATTGATTGAATTTAAAGTTAGTTATATTTATATATGTAGGTGATAAATCAATATAAAGTTAATTACAAACATGGCTTTAAAAACCTACTGTACATATATTATGCTAATGCTTCATTCTTTGACGTTATTAGACTTGCAAGGATTCTATGAAGATTTTATGTGTTCTTCTGAAATTTTCCACACCACTTTGTTTTTGAAACATGAAAAATGTATTTTGAATTTTTGGGTTGGGCGACCTTCTTATTCCGTCGAATGTTTGGAATATTGAAAGCAACCACCAAATTTATAGGTGACGAAAGTCAAATAAGATGATGATTAGCTAACCCACAAAAACCACCATTAGAGCTAAATTTGGCTATTGTACTAACTATAATATCAGTTTCTTATCACGTAAAACTCTTGTGGGTCCAACTATTATGGATAATTAGTGATTAAGAAGGCTCCATCAATCTAATTAAAGAGTCCGAATCCAAAAGGTAAAGCTGTTTCCTTCATTCAGTTCATCAGTGGGTAAATGTCTATAAAAATTGAAGGAAAAATAAATAATTATGAAAAAAATATTAATTTGTTAATAATCATATTGTTAATACATAGTATTTTATTTACCAATTCCGTCGAAGACCATCTTTAATAATTAAATCATTAAAGTTTGTCAAATTTAATATTTTTTTAATATATCAAATAACACGTAAATAATTCATACACCGATAATACAATAATCCCTCTTGTATCCTCTTGGCCATAGCTATGGTAATTGGGCCCTTGGCCCATGGTCCATCACAACTCAAGCATGACTTGGAATAATAAAATCAAGCACAGAGGGCACCTCTCTCTCAAATAATAACCATTTCACAAATGTTGTAAAAAATAAAAGCCTGACAGGAAACCCATAAATAGGGGAGCTACGCAAAAATTAGGTCAAGATCCGCTAGGACATCCACGAAAAGATGACCTAAGAAAAAATAGGATCAAAGAAATGTCCGCTAGGGAACATGCTAAAAATAACCTAGGCAAAAGTTAGGACATGAAAGCAACAACTCAAGTTGAAAACCGAAAGTCGACTTAGGAGAAAATCACAAACCCCCAAGTTATCATTCAAGGAAAAGGCTAACACAAATACAATTTCCCTATTACAAATACGTTTATTTATTAACCTAAACACCAGCCTACTACAGTCAACCATTCTTCTAAAAATAACTTTATGAAAAATCCTTCTAAACAAACCTTTTGAAAAATCAAAAATACCCTTTCTTTTCTTTTATCTTGACCTACATGGCATTAGGATAGTACCAAAGGATACATAGAGAATGCATAGTGAATACTCACAAGGGGAAGACTGAGACGTCCCTAAACAAGGTTTGGAAATATTTGACTACTAGGACCTATTTAGTGCAAACAAGGAGTAACCAAACCTTGGCTTCAAAGGAACACATCCCAGTAACAAGCCATCTACGTCAACAATAAATGCACATAGTTTAAGTTTCCCTTTTTGAGTCTTGGTATGTTCTTGGAGTGATTCTTGAGTCACATTTATAAATCTATAGAATTCACTCACATTGTCTTGCTTTTCTTGGTTCATTTTTGATAATTCTTGTGAATCAATCTTGGTATGTGCTGTAGGTACTCTTTGTTTGTCTTTCTATATGAATTAGGATTGTTTTTATCTTCTTTTGAATTCCTATGGTATTCGGTCTTAAAAGAAAGTTCAAGAAAGAAACAAGAATGCATGCTTTTTCTTTTTGTAATCTACTAGTTTTGTCTTAGTTGTCATGTGTAGTTCTTTTTTTGTCATTGCATCCGTGTTGTCCCATTTTTCTTTTTCAATCTTGTTCAATGAAAGCCTGTTCTTGAATGTGTCATTGCTGGTTGCATGATTAAATCATTCTTAGAGTGCTCACCAATTAATTCCTATGCATGTTATTAGACCTAACATGTTCTAGAGTCATTTTTGTGAAATTCTTTGCTATTAGTTTCATAGCAATATATGACCAGCAATTATGTGGTGTGTCTTGTGCTTGCTTTGATTAAAGAAAAATTGAGAAAGAAGTGCATAGAAAACGCCTATTAAGTGTGCTAAAAGAAGTGACAAAATT